GTTTTTGATTTTAAATCTAACCTAGAAATCTTTTTTTTTAAGTTCTGCGCTAATTCAACAGATGGATACTGGAAGAAAATCTTGCGAACGTCGGCTCAAATCGTTTTAGTAAAAAGAATGGCTTTTTCTTCTTTATTGCAGGAGAAGAAAATGAGGAAAAATTCTCAAAATAACAGTTTTGAGGCGTCTTTCCTCATCTTGTTAAGGTTTCCGAGAAAACTTAGGCAACTTTGAGCATTCTCAAGTTTAAAAACTTTTAGAAACTGTTTAAAGTGATCGGCAAAAAGAAATGCACGATAAGCCGGTAAGCAAACTGACGAAAAGCGATGTGATACTGATCTTTTTTAGATTTCAAACAAAATTTAACAACTCAGCTTTTGAACTAATGCCATTCAACACAGCCATGGCTATATAAATGTGCGTAATTCATAGGTGACACTGCTTCTGGAGCTCAAGTGTAAACTTTAATTTTTATTCATAGTAACAATCTCCTTTGATGTCTTTACTTTTCAACAGTGGCAGACAGTTCAAACTGCATCGCAACAAAAGCACCCGAACTCATTTCAACCTTGTTTACGTGCATTCAGTGATATCGTCACAGCGATGCTAACTAGATGAGGTGAGATGCGATGTGATACTTACACATGTTGTCAAACGGTTTTTCAAACAGCTTTGCTAGTGGCCCAGATGCATATGTTTCGGAAAAAAGCTCTCTACTCAGATCCACATGCACGAAGGAGTAATTTTTGCTAAAGCTGCTGTTGGGTCGATTTGAGCGCCGAATTAAATGCTACACGTAAAAAATGGCTTTTCTAACAGCGCTGCCTGTCTGAAGACGTTGCTCTCTATGTACCTTAGTATGCTGCTGTCCAGAAAATCTTTCTTGGCACTACGTTCAACCAATTTGCACGTTGCATCAAATTTGTTCTCACAGCAACAGCGGCAGCAGCACGGCAGCAGAAGCTATAAGCAACATTGAATATAGCCATATACTTGACGAATAAAAGTTGGCACCGTAGTGATAACAGCACTGTAAGCAGTGATTTATCTTCTTTCCTCTTTCTTCATATCAATTTCCGTTTTTCTACTGGAGGAAAAAGAGGATAAAAAATGAAGGGTAAAGAATAGAAAGCAATGAAGAACATAGTCTTTTTGAATTAACATAATAAAACTTAAACATCATCCTATAATGTTTATTTCTGAGCAAACTACTTAGAAATATAGCAAAGTAAACTTAATGCTTGAAATGTTTCTTTTTTTTCTTTTTTTTGCTCAACACTTTATTGCTTTTGCAAGAAGGCCTTGTAGCTTTCTTGAAGATCATCTTTTAACTGAAAGATAGTTTAAATTGCTGCTCATTTATCTCACTGCTTTTAGTATTTTTAAGCAAATGCCAATAAAGCTCAAAAAAAAAAAAGGTAAAAAAAGTTGGGGA